TTGGACCTGTACAAGGTGTGGGGTGTTCCCAAATCACAAAACCACCTTTTTTTTTTTTTCTCATATCATGTCCCTACTGCTTAAGGTGATGATGCTCCTTGGGATGCGGGCAAATTTGCAGCCAGGAATTCATGCCCAATGCTTGGGATGTGGACACAGGTGGGTCTCATCAAGGTTTGGCTGGCTGCTAAGGTCCACAGCCATGGAGGTGCAAAACAGGCAGCCACATGCCACAGCAGAGCAAGGGAGCCATGGCTGGGCATGTCTGAGTTTATCCAGAGGGAAAAAAAAAAAAAAAAAAAAAAAAAAGTGGAGAAAAACAACTGAGCTCTGCAGCGGGGATTAGGATTTACTGTCATATCAGGTGAATTCAGGTCAATGAGAAGCTGAGGCCAGATTTTATCTCAGCTGATAATAAAACATCCCCTTCACACAACTAAAAGCAGGGATATTGTTACACATCCTATTTAACCTGACTCACACAGTCAAGCTTGAGTTGCTATGTAACTGCATAATTACTAATAGGATCTTTTCTCCATTTTTTTAATCTAACATTGTAAAGGTTAAGAGTCTGTAAGATTATATTCTCCTTAAAATATTATTATTAAATCATAAAAAGGAAAAGGGAGCTCTGTGCCCAAAAAACCTATTTTATTCTCAGCATTGGAGTGGTTGTTTTGCAGTTATGGGCAAAGTCCTTAAAAATTTTCTTGTTTCACTTTACTGAACTGTGAAATGATGGTAACACAACTGCAGCTCTGGGGATCTAGGAAGCCTGATGCTTTAACTGTGCCTTGAGTTTTTATACACAGGACATGAAAAAATTTTAAAACATTATTATGGCACCATCTTTTATATTTGCTGCACACTTACAACATCACTCTTGCAATTATGATATTTAGTCCTCTGAGAGGTGATTAAAAGCACTTGAAGATGTACATTTATATCATATTTTTCCAAATTATGATACTGTGTGCCTTTCAGCAAATAAATACGAATTTTATGTCTCTTCATAGGATTATCATTAGCAAATAAAAAAAAAATCTGTTTCTGACAGGATGTATTATAATGAAAAGGACTATTCTGTTTCGGTAAATAAATTAATTATGATTATGACTACTGCTGGTGAAAGCTCAGCAAAGCAGATTTATCAAATGAATACATAAACATAACGTTGTTACAAGTTACTGAACTTATTCTTAACAGCTAGTGTTAAAAACTGATTAAATGAAACTGATAAAATATATACAGTTGTTTTTGGTTTGGTTGGTTTTTTTTTTTTTTTTTTTTTTTTTTTTTTTTTTTTTTAAATACTCCTGCAATCTTCTTCAAAATAGAATTTCATATAAGAGGAAAAACTCCAAATATGTGTTTTGTCCCACTAGTGATATTCAGGGCTTAAATAGTGGTTAATTTGCATCTGATGGTGAGATGTTTATTTTCAGAACAAAATGTAAACGTTTTCTAAGATGTGTCATATTCATTTCACACATTCCATGAAACACTGTGGGCATCTGTTTATTTGTAATTTTTGCATAATTTGGCCATAATTTGCTTGACATTTTTCCATGCTTGATTTCCAAGGGAGGAAAAATATGCAATATACAGAGTATTTAATGCAATATGTCCTTTTAGCAGAAGCTGAACTTCACTAAATTGGTCTTTAGGGGGCATCTACTTTATCTCTCTTGTTCCTTCCTATTTCTGTGAGTGTTTGATCACTTAACTGACTTATTTCCCACTTTTTCCCTCCTGGACTTCCTTGTTACGGCTAAGACCTTCTCACGTGTTTAAATCTTATCAGCTGCCTGGAGGCAACCTTAACTCCACCTGGAGTAACCTGATTATGTTTTCTTAGCAAAAATATGTTGAGACAAATTGTTGTTTGGGAATAAAAAAGAGCTAATTTGTAGACATCTATTGGTACATGGGGATAAGGTAAGCAGCAGTAACTACTGTGTGGATAAAACCACTTCCCTAAAACTTCATTATAATTTGAGGGAAAGCTGTTCCTTCTTTAACCAACCCTCCGTTTGTTCTATACAGACAGTCTTGCAAGATTGCCACTGCACATTGGGCAGAAATTGAGGTGAAGAGCTCTTTGATTGCCACCAAGTCAACCTATAAGTATCATTGAACCCTGAGTATTAGCATGATCAATTTGCAATAGCACAATCCATACACCATTGAGGAAATGGAAACACCAAGGGAAACGAGCATGTGTTGGAAACTACAAGCTTTGTTAGGAGGCATCTTTTTTTCTAGTTGCAGGTAGATGGGTGCTGAAGCTAATCCAGGAAAGGTTTTGAGGAAGATTATGATCTTGTCTCCATCAATAACACTTCCCCAGCCTTTTCCCTCAGGAGCTAAAATCTGTCTGCACTATCATGCCATGTACCACAGCTGTTGAGGAAAGGGATGAAACCCTCTTGCAGGGGCCGTACTTGGGACACCAGGCTGGGCTGGAGGCAGGTCTGCACCCAAACCTCGTGTCCCTGCACTGCCCTGCTGCTGCCTGCCAAACCTCCAACACCCTCTGCTCCCTGCTGCTGCCCTTAGGTCGGCAGAAAGCTCTCCTCCTCCTCTCCAGAATGAGATCTGCCCTTCCCCTCTTAGGCCCTCCAGCAGCCCTGTACCCACTCCAGCCTCCTCACACCCTCACTTCTTGATGCCCTTGGGTGTTCATGACTCGTATCAGGGCATGGCTCTGCAATCTAGGGCTTTCTAAGCCACGCTTAATTCATTATCACAAAGGATCATCCCACCAACTTCAGATACAAGAGGAAATCTACAGCAGAGAAATACCCAGCAGACAAGAAAGTATGTTCAATGAATAAAATGGACTGAATCAGAGGCCTGCCTCATGTACAACACTAATCAGTAACAACTGAGTGCTACCATAAATATCCACTTTCACCTCTGCCTTAAACTAAGTTGAATCAACTTTTACTGTTTTTAGGAAAATTCTTTTTTTTTTTTTTATCCTCATACTTACGCCACAAAATAGTGTGAATACAAGCTTTGACAGCAGATCTCCCAAACAAGCAAGCTAAGGACAGAAGAAACTGTTCTGCAAAACTAGATTCTCAAAAGTTGTCCTTAAAAGTGGGCAGGAGAAGCAGTGAAAAGAGTGCTCTTCCCCTAATTAGCAGTTCCAGATTAGCTTAGTTAATGCGCAGGAGGCTGGAGATGGAATTGGATATGGACCCAAATGTCTTCTTGCTTATTCAGAGCTTATCAGAACATCCTGAACTTTCAGCCCTGCAAATCCTGAGCTGGAAAAAACAGAACAAGATCTCTGGGGAGATTTCTTGTTCATTTTTACCTGTGGTTGGGCCAGAAATACTTCAAAGATAGATTTTCTTGTGACATTTGAAGTTTTCTGACTCGAGTATCTGCCAGGGTTTGAGCTCTATGAAGATAGATATTTATGGGGTCAGTGTTTCAGAAGATCTCAGCCTTCATACAGTCACCAAAATAAATGATCTGCTTTTCAAAAAAGGTCTCATCACTGAAAATGCACCCAGCCTGGTGTCCCACAGGGAGCTGGTGCATTTAGAAAGCCTATTGAAATCAGGATACAATTGTGAGCAATTTGCTTTCAGATATATGACCTGAGATATTTCTAGCTAGAATTTTGAAGTGGATTTTTTTAAAGAATTTTTTTGTGAGGCAAAAAAAGTTAGGAGACTCTTTAAGGCACAAAACTAGGTACAAACCTAGATAACTATAGAAATAAGCATACTGATCCTCAAGTTCAAAGAAAAGAGAAGAAACAGAAAAGTATCTAGGACCTCAATACAGCAAGATGAGAGGTCTATACGAAGATAATTATCTGTCACCTTTGTCAGATAAAAATAATGTAAATAGAATGGAGTGAAAGGCTAGGGTATAATCCAAAATCTGAATTTACCTTGCATCAGGCAGGGCTTCTGGGACAGAATGTATGAACCACAGGTCCTGATGATTCCCCTATGACTCCAGTACATGTCCATCAAGACACACTCTCCCCCTTCTAAAGCAGTTTTTCCAAAAGCTGCTTTATTTTCCTTCCAGATGCGCTGTACTGTTGCATGGCTGGCTCTCACTACAGGCTGTGCTGGATACTTTCCTGATTCTTGGAGATCTGGGAGGCCTTGCTGTCTTTGGCTTATGATGTGCAAGGGAAAAAATTGTTCATCCAAACATTTCCACCTAGTCTCACTCCCAATAACTAAGCCTTTGTATTTTGACCACAGGGAGATGTCAATGGTGATGCAAAAGGGGTGTTGCCAGTAGCCTCAGCCTTTAATCCCCATACAGCACATTAATTGCATTCCACAGACCTAAGAAGAAGCCTCCATTGGCTACTTCTGATCCAGTGTGTATTAGCAAACTGCTTTGACCGAGAAGTTAGCATGCAGAAGGAACCAACTGCACAGCTGATTTGCCAGTTGGGACTTTAGGCTGTAGAAAAGGGGAACCTGGACAAAGTGGGAAACTTTGGAGAGCAAGACAACATCAGGACTCACAATGTAACAGCCAAGTGATTCAGAGCAAACAGACCCATGACTTTTATAACTGTCATACTTGCATGGTACCACTCAGTGGACTTCTCATTACAATGAAATTTCTAAAAGCATTGAAATCTGAGTCACCAGACCCTCAGGTTGGAAAAAACATCTTTAACCTTTCACTTATTTGTCCTTGAACACCCCTATTTTGCCTTGCGGACCTGCTGACTGTCAGCTGCCTTGTTCAGATCCAACCTGCAGTGACAGTACTGGGGCCACAGCACATACATAAGGTGGACTTAGATATGATGCAATTCTGCTGCTTTTGAGTAACTGCCTTCTCAGCAGCATGCAAACCCCTCTTGAGTCAGCTCCACCCAGCCGTGACTATGCATGACATAAAACACAAGATGACAGTCATCAGAAGAACCTAAAACCATCTGGTCACTAGAAAAAGATGTTCTATTGTCTACTGCATCATAAGAGCTGTTTGCACGTAGCACTTACCTAGCATCCCTTTGTTTGAACTGGATAAGCACATATCCTTCTCAGCACTGGGAAGAACAAATCCAACCACAAACACCTCCACCCCGTCTGCCATCAGTGCCAACCCTAAAACAAAGAAGAGGGTCCACTGAAAGCGTCCGTGGCCACACTCCTCAATGATGTTCTCATACTGGTGGGCAAGTTGCTCCTCATCCTCCATCCTCTCTGCCATAAGGTCATCACGGTCTCTGTACTCATCAGCCACGGCAGGAGCTCGTTTCTTCTGCTTTTCTTTAATGTCATCTGGGTGTGGAATACCTTGGTACTCCCCCTCGTAGACCTCATCATCTTCATCATGGCCTTCTGTAACATCACTCTGGGCATCTTCCTCATGAGTGGCTTCATCCCCACCACGGTAGTAGCCATCATTGGGTGCATACCCTTCATAGTTACCATGCTGGTACCTGTAATCATCTGAGATTTGGTTTGCCTCCCTGTCCCCTTGATAGCGGTTTGTGTCTCTGTATCTATCATCCATTCTGAATGGAGATTTCTAAATGCTGGAGATCACTGTGTGTAGATACTCTAATATATGTATTGATTTGTGCAAGTTTTGGTGTTGGTTACTTGAACATAACTTCTCTCTGTTCTTTGGGACTGATGGGGATGCACAGCTTCACAGGCTCAGAAGGAGAATTCCTATATAAAGTTTCTCTTTGACAGAGTCTCATACAGCTTTTGATAATGTTTCACTTTTCAGCTGTCATTTGTGACTTGCTGGCTTCTTCAGTGCTTTGGGTAAGAAGAGCTACGCTCTGGTGAACAGCAAGGGAACAGCAAATTTCACAGCCAGAGAGCTAGGAGGATTTCACAGGTTTGTCCTGATTCATTGTGGCGGTGAAAGTCATGTCCTGAGAAAGAGGAAACAATAGCAATGACACAGCAGTAAGCTTGAAAGTACACATGCATTGAGCTTAATGCCCAATGCCCAACATTTTTCCATTACAAAACAAAATGACAACAGAGTGCTTGAAGAATGCTTTTGTACCATTAAAACCCAAAGCCTCTGAGGAAAAAAGAGCATTAGAAATTACCAACTTAAGTGGGAACCTAAAGCAGAATGTAAAGTAACGTGTGGTCCCAATTTCTGTTGTTCCCAGAAGTCCTGCCTCACCCACATGGTTCTGGTTTCTACAGAGAGCACAACAGTACTGGGCTGGGTTGCTGGAACAGAGCTCTCAGGTTGCTAAATATGTTTCTATCCATCTACCCACAGCACACTTAGCCCTGCTACCTACAACTGGCTAACATCATAATGACACAAAATATGAGCTTGGTTTTCTCTTTCTTCCAGATCCCAAACTTAATTTTATTTAATGCTTCTTTTTCTTCTTAGCGTCTCTCCATCTGTATGACAGATGTACAACTAGTATGCAATGTCTGCCAAGTTAAAGTCACCGAAAGTCACACCAAGCTCTGTTCTTCCCATATCCAACCATCAACGGAGGATGATTTTCACAGGGAGCAAAAAACAAAGATAATATAGAATCACTGCTCTCTGCAGGGAAAACCAAGGGAAGCCAAGTCACATCTAAACATATTCTCATTTTGGACACCTGATTTCCATTATTTTTCAAGCGGGTTTAGGCCAGCTGGCTCCCCAGTGTTCTCCTGCGTTTGTTGCTGCACACAGCTGTAGACAAGGAGTTTGAAAGGAGACTCACATGGGAAACTGAGTAGAGTCACGCTAGAGGAGCCAGCACAGTGTAGGTATGTACAAAATGTGGACTTTCCTTTAAGCTTTGAGCTATTTGCTTAAATAAAGTCTAAACGAGCTATGAAATGACACGGGCAGGCACATGTCTGTATATGTGTAGGCGTTATTACCTACAGTCGGTTGACCTATAGAAGTGTACACAAATGCACACACTCTAAATAACAGCGCTACCCCTGCACTCCGGGATCTTATTTGGCAGACAATATGGGTTTAAACAACAAGGATCTAAAATTACTTCAGCAGAGAAATTCAGTAGAAGCTCTCTCACAAAATTCTCAGAAGGGCATTGCTCCTTCTGCAAATGCTACGATTATTTGGCAGCCCAAATGTTCAGGATAAGGAAAGAGCAGAGGCTTGACTTCTCTGCATGGAGTCATGGCCATGCCTTGCCTATGCTGTTCATGTGAGCTGCTCCAAGAAACTTCATAAAAGCTTCTCCTGCATTTCTGTTTAGCTACCTATAGATTTACAGGCCATTATTAAGACATGGCCTCTGCAGGCCCTGCCAGAGCATCTTCCTTTCTCTGATCCCTCTGCCATTTTTCACTTCATTCAATGTGTTTCCTCTTCCTTTTCTTTATGTTGAAACACACAATACATTTTACATGAAGTTAAAAAATCAGCAAGACATTCTTCCAGGGCTGAAAAAGAGCAATCAATAAAGTAAAAAAAATAAAAAAAATAAAAAAAAATCCCAGAAGCATTCTGACCAAGTTAGAAATCTCATGAGACTACAGTGCAGGTAGCAATAAATTATTTTCATTCACAATAGAAATGTTAATGTGCAGGGGAGTTCATACATCTGACAGCCATCAGAACCACTTAAGTGGGTTTTACAGTTAAGTGGGTTTTTCAATGCTGGAGTGTCACCACTAATGGTTAAAAAATCCAGGAATACTTTTGAGTCTCAGAACCTCACAGTCTTAAAGTAACTTTCTTGATTACACAAAGATTTGTGTCATGACTGAACAATATGTTCTCCAAGAGAGTAAAAATGTAGTTCCACAGAGACATATTTACTTTCGAAAAATAGGAAAAAGAGCCTTTTTTTTTTTAAAAAAAAAAAAAAAAAGAAAAATATGTGCTAACGAGCATTAGGCCTTGTTTTGGAAGTCTTTCAATATCATGTGTTGGCAGGTTATGTTTCAAAGCAACCTCAAATGTCAGAGCAGGAAGTGCAGTGACCTCATCATATTTGTCCCTTTCTGGTTGCTACAGAAGTGGATTGAAAACTCATCTTAGGAAATGAAGGAATAACAACACTAATGATCATTAACAGAACTGATCAGATTCCAGGTCTCCACAGACCCTACCCTTAGCCTTACACCTACTTTTTAAAAAGGTAAAAGTATGTTCTTGAAGACCAAGCACTGGAAATCTTGTCGTTCTCTATTAAAAAGCCATCAAGGCTGGGAGCTGGGCAGTTTGCTTCCTACTATAGCAGAACCAAAGAAGTTCACAAACTTAGAAAAGACCTATTGAAGCATCCGTGCTCTTTCACTGATACACAAAGATTGTTATTTACCATATGGGATCACTTACATCTTGGGCAGTGTAGGAAATAATTAGATGAGCTGACAAGTCTCATAGATGAGTGACAGCCACCTGTGATCAGACATATAATTCAGAAAAAACATGTAATTCAGGAAAAAGGTCATGGCAAAGAGTAGTCAGTGGGTTCCCACTCAGTTTATAGAACGGATATTTTCTGGGATCACGCTAGGAGAAGGAGCAGTGCTCAGAGGCAGGCTGTAACTTAGGCCTCTTGAATGCTTGACTTTGATACTTCACACCACTTGTTTCCTTCCGTTGCCACATCACACAGGCTGATTCACTCTAGACCTGACTCTTTAGCACCCTTTCACTCAAGCTGAGATGCACTCCCTCATATTAGCAGCCCCATTTAACATTTAGATGTGAAATCATGACTTCTCATAAAGATTGCAGGCTTGGATTGCTATAGTTACCCTTCACAGTGATGCATGAGAGTCTGAGACAAATACACACATCATGTCAAGCCTAATGCAACCTTGGGCCCTTTTAAACTGACAACTACCTTTCTGAGACATGCAAGTGAGGTTTAAACACGCAACAAACGCAAGGCTCCATAAGGCAGTGTCTGTAGGGGAGGGAGGGGCAGAGGCAGGAAAGTCTCATTCTGTGTCTCCCCAAAGTAACCTGCTAAACTGATCTTTGGTCACAAAATCCTGAAGTACCTGGGAATACAGTTCATTTCCTCTCTTGTAATTCTTCATAGCACAGCACTTGTTTCTCAATACGTTATCTTGTTTTTTCTTCCCCTCTAAGTAATTTTTGCCCTCTAGCTTTTCCTCTGTAGTCTGCTTCCTATTTACCTTAAACTTATTTCCTCAACAGTCTATCTCATCAGTTATCCTGATGCTAGCAAGCATCCATCACTTAGTCCTGTATCTTGCACGCTCTAATTTATTTAACAGCAACTCTTTAACACGCACTACTCACCTTGCAGCTTTCTTGCACTCCTTAGCTCTTTAGTCAGCTCAGATGTTGCATACTTAGCCAGGAATTAAGTCATTTGAGCTCTGCAACTTAAAACAGTAACCTAAAGTCTTGGATATATTCCTAAATAGAAATGGTATCTACTCCAGAAAAAGGGACATTTAAGAAGGGCAGCTTAACACCTGCACTAGCCCCTGTGAAAGAGCATATAAGGGAGATGCCTGGCATGCTCATGTGATAAACTGTGGGCTGAAGGGCAGCAGAGCTTGGAGGGGATGCAGAGAAGGGTGAGTTTCCTGTACCTGGCACTAAATAAAGAGAGTCCAGGACTTGTTAGAGAGATGAGCTCTATCAGAGAACAGAACTTATAGCAAATTAGTGAGAAGGATAGTCATAGAAAGGCGGTTTCTTATGACATATATTGAACCTTGAGGTATGATGGAGTTTCTGGAACAGCAAAGAGTAAGGCTGTTGCTTTGTGGGAGCTGTAGCCGAAGGGAGCTGCGGGTGCACACATGTATGCAGTGGGGAGAGAGCCAAGGGTAGGAGCTGACACCCAGATCCTTCTCTTTGCCTGCTCAGAACGGGAAAACTGTCAAAGTCAACAGCTGAAGAGAGAGGTTATATGCATGCTAAGGATAAGGAGCAGTATGAGGACACTATAAAAATGCTTTTAAGCAACCTTTAGCATTCACCAGAATAATCCCTGCAAAACAGATGGCAGAGCAGTTTAATATTCAGCCCAAAGGACAACTCCTCTAGCAAAACATCCTCACCCCCAGAGCTGCTTTCTGCTGGCAGCAATGGGAAGGTGCCCAGATCCTACAGTGACCATAAGGACACTCTGCAGTCACAAAGCTGACTGTAAAAAAAATTCTGAAGGGAAATTTTCCTCTCTGAAAGGAGAAAGAAAATTGTGCAGATAGGTTTTTGAGAAGTTCCAGTCTCAGACTCTTAACGAAGATGCAATTGATGGATCCATTTGTACACAGAAAGGACCATGTTTTTGAGATGCTTAACGACTCACAGCTCCCAGGGGAGCAGTATCCTGGATTTCAGGCAGCCAGAAATTACAGAAATATTATTAGACAGACTGAGTACTGTAGCAACGTCTGATCACCGTGTTGCTAGATGGAGGTGAAGTGTTGCAGTGCCTGGGACACAGATCTGTGCTGTGGGCTGAGCATCCTTGGGTCTGTCCCTTGGCTTCTTAGCATTTTTGTGTCCCTCCAGACTGCGCATTGGAGCAGCACAGCCCTCCTCTGGTGTGAATTGCGGATCGGTTGCTCAAAAGCTTTGCAGCTGTGGCTATATGAATAGATGGCAACTTGTGCCCCCAAAAGCCTAAATAAACCAGAAATTGGAGAAAAGAGGTCCATGTGCTCCCTGCTTCACAGCCGAGGCCCAGGAAAAGTGTGTGCTTTGCCCAGAGTCTTTTTCAGGTTTTCACTGAACTCTTGCAGCCCACCTTTTTTTTTTTTTTTGTATTATTTCTTTAACAAAGAGAACTGGTATTTTCTCTCAGGAGAATTGTGAAACTTCCCCTCTTATGAACTAGCATAAATAATAATAATAATAATTAAAAAATCTAAAAAATTAATCTGCAACCTCAGAATTCACAAAAATAATCCCTTCAGATCAGATCTATTAAAAAGTTTTATCTTATACTGTAAACGGTTGTCTTTTTGGCACAAAATTAAAAAAAAAAAAAAAAGGTGCACGGAGAGTTCTTTCAAACTGAAAAACAAACATTTAGTTTAAGAAACGCCAACATGTTAGCTGCTTGATCCATTTTTTATTAGAAACATTTGTTTAGAAGGAATTCTTTTCCCCTAAAAAATTCAGGTTTTGAAAAACTGTCGTTTTCTTATCAATAAAAATTACATCAGAAACTCTCTGATTTTATTCTAATGGATATAATATTATCTCAGGTGCATCTTTAAGAAGGCAGTATAGAGAAATATAATATTGGAAAAGTAATTCTGCTAGTTATATACATATGACAAAAAGTATCTGACCTCTGTGCTGTGAGGCAGAGAAGGGCTTTTCATCCACAGGGCTCTGATTATTCTTTTTTTGCTAACATTAACATTACTGCTGCAGCCACACAATTCAACATCCAGAAGAGCTGAGCAGTATCATCATTTTACTGGACAGATGGCAAGGATGGGTTCTTGGCAAGGATCCTGTGGAGGGAAAAGTGGTAAGATCTGGAGACAATATATATAGGATTGAAGTTAGGAAAAGGAAATGAGGGGGCTTCTAATGCAGAGAGGTAGAAACCAAGTGAATTCAGAAGTCAAGGAGCAAGGACAGGGATTAATGGTTCAAATTGCACTCAAAATAAAGGAGGAAGTGGCCAGGGAAGTATGGAAGCCCTGACATATTACTGATCCACACACTATAGGGAAAAAAATGACACTTACTGCTTAGTAATAACAGCAGCTCTCGCCTTCGTATCTAAGGATTATAAACCCATCTCAGACCATCTCTGTCAGAGCTCAGTGCTAATCCTTTCTAATTCTTGCTTGACTTTTTGCAACTTTATTCCACTACCAAAATAATAAACAGACAGGAGAAAAGTCTCAGGGCATAGGACTCAGAAACACTTTAGGAAGAAGTTGGCTGTGGGGAACATCACTTAGTCAAAAAAAAAAAAAAAAAAGAAAAAAAAGAAAAAAAGAGAAATAAAATTGACAGCTATTTACAGGGGCGATTGTATTAAAATAGGTCACAGCTCTTGCAGGTCTTCAGTAGTTACTTTCCTTACTTTGCCTTTCCATCAAATATCCTAGTCGGATGGTGGTGATGGGAAATGAGTCCCTGGGGAATTTCCAGTAGGATGTTCTCAAATCTGAACGCTGGCCTGTGAATGAGTGTGATTTAATTAGCTGAAGACCTGGTGTCTTCTTTGGAAATACAGGTCTGCTCTTGGGATGCAAGTTAGTAGACAATTGTAGACAGGTAAGGGAGTGTTATATACACCACTAGGGGAAAAAATCCTTCTGATTCCTTTCATTCCCTGTCCAGTCTCACAAGACTGGAAGAAAAATTTGTCCTTGCAATTAATGTCCAAAAGAAACCAGGGTCATCAAGCACTCTTCAGGGAGGACTATATCAGAGTCTTGGGTTGGAAACCCCTTGCAACTGGAGGAATGTCAGCTCCAGATGTTAATTTCTTGGGTCTCTTTTCTGTTCCTTTTCAGAAAAAACAAAGCAGGTGTGTGAATTTTCTAATGTTATTAATCAGTGACATGGTAGCTAGAAGCCAAATGGAGTTAGATCACCACCAAAGACACCATGATTATCTGTGTGGGCATACCAATATGTGTTTTTTTAGGTGTAAAGTTGTGGTAATGTCTACAACAATCACCTGTGGCTGAAAATGCTTACATCAGGCTAACGGGACCCGGACAAGAGATTTAAAAATCAAAGTCTGTAGCAGGGCCTGCCTTAAAAAGAGTTTGCTTTGAACTCTGGATAAAGAGGTGTCTTCTGTGGCTTTAAAGGAGAGTGCTGCATTAAGTGAAAACTAAGGATAAAACAAGTTTCTCCTGAGACTTTTTTTATTATTAAGCAATTATTTGATAGATATGTAACACAGGTTCAAAAACTCTCCATGGAGCTTATTAAGCAAACTCACTGTGCCAGAGATTCTGCATTAGTAGCTCTGAGTGAAAAGAAGAGCAAGATATTTGAAAGTCATTGACTTGAAATCACCTGGTACAAAGAACTAGCTTTCAGCAGTAAAGATGGCACCTAATGATTGCTCCCCTGCAGCACAGGTAGGACGTATAGGGTAAAAGTCCTCTGTTTGGTGTAAAAATCATTGATTTGTTCTAAGATGCTTCTAGGGTCTCTGGGACAGGACTCATTTATTCTCTTTTCTCATGATGCAGATTGGAAGAAGAGTGGTGCAGATGCAGCCCTGGTATATTGAAAAATGCAGGAAAAACAGAGCTGAAGCAATTTAGTACGTTACCAGCAGAACGGATTAATTATTTAACAGAGAAGGCATTTCAGTTCAAAATTCTCTGCTACAGAGTCTATTGAATTTACGACGTCTCACAGTTTCTGGATAATCTCTATTGATCTGTGGTGGGTTTTACGCATTTCTGTGTAGCTGCATACTGTTTATGTTTTGTTACACCGTGTCAAAATACCTACTGTGTAATTTGGTCCTAAACTCCTGCATCACTTTGCTAAAGGTAACACATTTTTCTGCAGAAAGAAGCTATAATGTTTAAAGATGAGGCATCTACTATAGCAGAGCTGGACATGGTATGAACATGAATAGTTCAGTTGTGTTTGACTGAGCTATGATTTACATTAAGTAAGAATCTGGCTGTACTGCTCTAATGCCATTACACTTTTTCATACTAACCCACCCCAAGTGCACTGGGGGAGATTTCTAGTTTCCAGCATATTGGGCACTAAAATGTCATTGTCTTTTGTGGTGGTGACTTTCACAGTAAAGTGGCTGAATTTAACTTGTAATCCACTATGTTATGTTATGAACTAAGGGACAGAAAGTCCCTCAGATTCTTAAAGGGAGATTATATCTTAAAGCCTGATATTCTGTTGGTGCAGATGCTTTAAAGGTCACATCTAAGACAGTATGTGCTGCAGCAAGCTGGCACATTGAATGTGTAGCAGATGAAACAAGGAACAAGCATCAGTCAAGCAGGATAAACAGCTTTTCTGAAGTTAAGGACACAGACTAGCATGTTGGGTGTTCGCGAAATAGAGAGGAATGTTTAACAGTAGGAATTGGAAAGAAACGGTTTAGCAGCACAAAGCTATATAAGGAGGGACAGACTACACATTAGGATTCCAGAGAAAGGCCATAAAAGGTCAATTTGACAAGCTGAATATGCATAATGAGTTGAGACAGATGGTATAAGAGTATGGTAGCTAATAAATAATGAACAGACTTGCTTCAAGAAGCAAAAGCAGGGAGAAATCAGTTAAGAGCTTAGTCAGAAGGGAGGTGGTGAAGGGGAAAAGAACAAAACCATGGAGGATGGGGGAGAATCACAGCAGGACGACTAGTGGGAGACGAGTGTCTGGTTCCAAGTGCTAGAGTTTTGTGGAGATGATAATTAACCCGAAGAAAACTTAGAAATACATATGCCTGAACTGGAATTTGGCCATTTTATTGAGATTAGCAATCTTTTAGCTGGGAAAATACTCATGGTGTCTAAACTTTTCCTATTTCTTCTTCTCCTTCTCTTCCATTATCATAGTACCTAAGCAGCCCACAGTGCTTACAGCTCCCATGAAAGGCTGGGAACACTTCTTAAGTTTGTTTTGCTCATCATGATTCAAGACAGAGAGAGACTATAATTTCATCTGAGCATTGGAACAGAAATGCTGTGCGCCGTGTCCCATACTGCTGGCACACCTTAGACCAGCAAGCTAAGGCCTCCTTCCAACCTTCACACCCAGCTATCTTTGATGACTGAGATACGGGTGAGCATTGCTGCCCCACAAGCCTCTTCCTAATGTGGAGCTGAGGCACAAACCCTGACCTGGATACCAAGGATTACTCAGATCTCCCAATGTAGATGTAAATCAAGAGGCTTTTTCAAGATCACCTGGGGAAGCCATATCAGTGCCAAACATCCAGTGCATGTTTGTTATGTCCTTGTCTTTTTAAATATCATAGAGAGCTAGAGTTTTCAAGGCTTTACTGACTATTAATAAACCAACCTCTATCAGCACTGCACCTGGTGGTATAAACTAACAGATAATTTAGTGTTGCTTCAGGAAAAAAAAAAAAAAACAGTACCCTGGTGCCCTTTAATGAGTTTAAGCATTTCTAGGTGTGTTTGCCCTTGGACAGCTTATTAGGTCTAACCTTACTGGGTTTGGAGGCTCTGACAAGCTCCCAGAGATGCGTGTAAGCAATAACCTTGGAAATAAACTGCCTGCAATTCAGCAAATTCTGCCTGTGTCAGACAGCAAACACTCCTGATTAACTATGAACTTGCTTAGCTTATTGGCAAAGATGGGCCTCTAGCTACAAAGGGGACTTTTATTTCATCACACTTGCAACCTGTGTTATTAAATAATGAACCACTTAATTAACTAATTCATTAATGCATGGCTGTGATGAATAGATTTGCTCCAGCAACAGAGTCATGAAAGCAGATGCAACCCTGAGTGATTTCCAAATACGGCTTTCTTTCAGAATGGATTCTATTTGAGCAAGTATCTTTATTTAATAACCTCATTCTTTCTCCTGCCTCTAGCTAATAGAGCAGCGTTGAGGTCTGCTGTGTCAGTTCCCCCCGCACCCCAGCGCTCCCTGCTCTGGTCCTTCCCTCTTTTCTGCCTGCCTGAAGCCCCCCACCTCCTTTGGCTCCAAGCAGTCAAGATGCCTTCAGTGTGTTGTGTCACAAAATCACTCTTTGCCCAGAGTTACCACACTGCTGTGGCCAGGATGCAGTGTCTCATCATCTCTTATCTCAAGTGCACAATGATTGCAGTGTTTCAGGTAGTGAAAAGCACTGTCAGATATTTTGCATGATCACCTTCTCATTGCTGATGGAACCAACAAACCTCCCCACGAACTGGAGACAGGACAAATAATTTAATGCACCTCACAGCAGCCTATGCAGGGTTGTTGTCTCCTGATTTCCACCATGGTATAGGAGCATGTTAAAGGGTTCTAGCAGAGACATTTCCATAGGCTGAGAGATCTCCCTGTAGCGAACTGTTCCTGCTATTGGGAACAGCTCTCTCCCAGCCTGGGATGCTCAGGCATCAGTCTTTAGAGACAGTTGCTTGCCAGCTCCAGTGAAGTGTACCACGGCACTGACCATGCCAGAATTCAGGATCATTCCAAGAAAACCCTCATGCTGCAGCCTGTCACAGTTGCAGCCAACCTTATGCTTCCATTGTGCTCTTTAATAGGTTTGATACTTATGTTTGCCTTCGGGGCTGCTCAACAATCAAGTCTGAGGAGCACAGTTATTATGATGCTAAGATTGAGATCAGATAAGAGGGATGGTTCTCAAACTAAATTCAGCTTCTTTCTTTTTTTGTGTAAACCCTCCAATACAATTATTTTGTGGCCACAAGAGCTTTCAAAATTGCAAATGCACTGTTCATTATGCACCTTGTCTGTGGAGAAATACAAGTGCAAGCAGCAGCAGGATTAAAGAGATATTCACTCTGAGAC